TAGCATTAACCCCTTGCATCACACCACTATTCCCTGATAGGGCACGCAATACATTGCAGTGTGACATACACGAAGGGCAGCGCACAGCGGAGCCGCCTACCCCACCCGACCCCCAGGAGCCACTGCCGGATATGCTGGCCACTTCCGGGAGTGGCGCAGGGCCAGGGCAGGCAGGGAGCCTGCCTTAGCCCCACTGCCACCCCAGAGCCGCTCAAGGTAAGCGGTGTGGGGCCCCACACCCCGAACCCCTTCTGCACCCCACACCCCAACCCCCCTGCCCTGAGCCCCCTAACCTCCTGCCTTGAACCCTCTGCCGCACATCTCTACATCCCAACCCCTGCCCTGAACCCCCAATGCCTTGCCCTGAGCCCCATGCTGCACCCCAACCCCCTGCCCTGAGCCCCATCACACCCCGCACCCCAATCCCCTGCCAAGCCTCCTGACGCAACCCTCCTGCACCCCAACCCCCTGCCCTGAGCCCCATCACACCCCGCACCACTCCTGCACCCCAAGCCCCTGCAAAGCCCCCTGCCGCACCCCAAGCCCCTGCCGAGCCCCTCCCGCACTCCGCACCACCTCCTCCACCCCCAACTCCTACCCTGAGCCCCCAACCCCCTGCCGAGCCCCCTGCCACACCCTTCCTGCACCCCAATCCCCTGCCCTGAGCCCCTTCCTGCACCGAGCCCCCTTCTGCATCCTGCCCCCCTCCTGCACCCCAGCTCCCTGCCCTGAGCCCCTTCCTGCACCCCAACCCTTGTCCTGAGCCCCTTCCTGCACACTGCACCTCCTCCGACAACCTGCACTCCCTCCTGCACCCCAACCCCCTGCCCCAGCCCTACATTCATGGCCCTGCATGCAATTTCTCCACCCAAATGTGGCCCTCAGACCAAAAAGTTTGCCCACCCTTGATCTACTGTGTCAGACACACTGGACAGCAAGTATCTTTTTTTTAAGATACTTAATTGGTAAATATTGCAATATCTTCTTTAAAAAGACTATTCGTTCCAGGAGTGCGAAGTGCAGTCATAGCCACTTTGACAGGCCATCTTATTTTATTCAGAGATCTGGGGATATTGCAAACCTGGAGTCAGATACTCTTGCTGGTACCCTAACACCTAGTTACGTAAATGGCTTGCTGCACACAAAATAAAGACTCACACTGGGGTGTGCTCTTACTCAACAGCTGGAGCCACTGTTCTCTGAAACTAATTTTGAACCAAGAAAACTGACAACTTTCGTAACAAGGGAAATCAAATTTGGCCCAGCTGCTTTGAGATTAAATAAAACCCATCATTAGCATAGAATGCCACTTTGATAACTGTTCTATCCACCACGGTATCAGTGAGCAGTCTAATGAGCAGACAGTTTTTGCCAACAGCTCCTGTGCAAAGTGAAACCGGTTTAGATAAAAGGTGGTATGAGCATGATCTCAGTCCATTCCCTGTTAGATAACTGTTTACTTTACATTATTCAGTACTATTGCCAGTCTGCTGAAAGAGAGGACTTTTCAAGTGTGTACTGACATACACTGGCACAGCTGGGTAGAGTGGCCTGCACAGTGGCTAACCAGTATCAATCTCACCATTCCATGGGCATTAAAGACTTCATCTGCACAAAAAATTAAAGAGAAACGGAAATGGGTATAAATGATCTGTAGTTTTGACAGCATCAGAGAGGCTACTATACTGCAGTATCAAGTCACTGCTTACAGATAAAAGGAGCCAAAGCATATTCTGGTGGCTGACAGCAGGGAAGTCAGGCAAACCTAATTTAGACTGAGGAAGAAAGATTAGGGAGTAAATGTTCTTTAAAAAAAAAAACCCCAGTACCTGGGCGTCTCAACGGTCTGGCAATAAGTGCTGTATGCTGCACTACTAAAAAATAGAGTTATAAACAGGATCTGAGATCCTTATAGTCTGCAGGCCTCTCAAACTTGTTAATTTTTTTTAGTATACTGAGCATCAAAATAGGCCAGATTGCCCCCCTGTTGCTGAGATTTTCCTTTTTCTCTGTGTGGCACATGGAACAAAGTAATATAGATTCAGCTTTCTGACACACTATTAAAAAATTAATTAACCATCTTGATCAGAGTTAAAAAGCTAATGGTAACATTCGCTTTCATTTTTCTATAGTTTGAAAGAAAACAAATATTCCATGGTGGCAAGGAAAAGCAACTACATACCATGCATAGACAGCCTGTTCTATGCTGATGATCCTGCAGATATGAACTGAATTTTCAGGGGACAAGAGCAAGTCTACATAGCATACAATGCAGCAGGAATGACATGTGTATTTAATGTGGCTAAATCTGATGGCAAGCAACCTTAGTGTATAATCAGTAAAAAAATAAGTCACTTATGGTTTGCTGGAAAAAGAGAACATTAAGAAAAAAAAACTGTTTCATGACACTTGCAACATTGGGCACTGAATCATTTACCCTAGAGACCTCTATGCACTGGTGGCTGGGGTTGCAGCTTGATGTTTTGTTTTACCAGATAAAAAGAAAAGTTGGGGCCCCGATTGCTTTTGTTGAATTACCAAGAATAAAATAAGCCAGTCACACTACTTGCAGGCCAATGGGATTCCTGAAAGCATGATTATATTTTTATTTAGTCCAACAGAACAGATTACCTACAACTTCTGGTACACCTCTACCTCGATATAATGCGGTCCTTGGGAGCCAAAAAAATCTTACTGCGTTATAGGTGAAACCGCGTTATAGCGAACTTGCTTTGATTCACCAGAGTGCGCAGCCCCGCCCCCCCCAGAGCACTGCTTTACCGCGTTATATCTGAATTAGTGTTATATCGGGTCGCGTTATATCGAGGTAAAGGTGTATTTACTCCTTCTACTGGACTAAAGTTACTACCAATGTCTGAAGAAAGTCATCCTCCACTCTAACCAGATCCTCATTAGTCATATTCTTTCCATTATGCTAATATATTTCTTTAAAAAAGATGTTAAGAGGACCTTTACAGTCACCGTGTAACTACAATTTGAAACATTTTGAAATTATTTGTAATGTAATAAAATCCTTATGAAAAGTAGTCACCTTTAATACTTAAGACTCTCTAGCATTTTAATTTCCTCTTCCCTTTTAAAAACACCAAGAGTGATATCTGTCTCCCTTTGCACATGTATACTGTGCTCATTACCAAGGTATCTGAGCACCTAAGACTACATTTTGGGCTACTTATTTGCTAAATTCTATTATTTAACAAAATCGGATTTTGAGAGAAGAGTGAGAAACAACTTCTGTAACTGAGGTCCTGTTCAACCTCTGCTAACACACTCAGTATGTCCACCTGCTTGTTGCTCAGTGCAGTTCTAGTGGTTTCCTCAATTAGCGTATAGATTTCTTTCAGATTGCCCCTCTCCTAAAAGGTACCACAGCACAGAAAGATTTTTACATTTAAATATTTTTGCCCAAGGCAAAGCAGAGGCCAGAGCTCTCTGGGAAAATCCTGTAGTTAGACCCTCTGAATTCTCATCTTATTCTGCACTCCCATTTTTTTCAATAATAGAAAATCAAATTTAATGTAGATCAGTGGTTTTCTATCTGTGATCCGTGGACATCTGGAGGTCTGCAGATTATGTCTAAGATTTCCAAAGGGGTCCGCTGCACCTCCATTCAAAATTTTTAGGGGTCCGTAAATGAAAAAGGTTGAAAACCACCGATACAGATACTTGCTGGATGAATACAGAAAAAATGTAGTGAATATATAATGCTACTAGGACCACCACCAGTGCTCAGGGGCCAATGTAGACCCCTTTGTCAGAAGATAAGTAAATCTGATTTAGACACAAGTGAAATGGTGGCATTTTCAATCTAGTCCCTAGTACAAAATTTCCTCTCCCACTCTCCCAAATTCTGTTTTTCAATGTGGTTCTCAAAGGAAAAAGGGTTGCCCACACTGTTCAGGCAACTATGCTAGCTCCAGCCATGCTTAAACATGACTGGCTGCCAGTATGGTTTCAACTGCACGATGGACAGGGCATAGGTTCTTTTTTTTTTTGGTAACCCCTCAAACGTAGAAATAGCCACACAAATTATTTTCTCCCATACATCAAAACATTTCTGGACCAAAATGCTCTATGCCAGGGTTTCTTAAACTTAAAGGGGTCCGCGAGGGTATTCCAGGGGGTCTGCAAATCATGTCTGGGGCTGCTGGCCCGGCTGATTAACTCCTCCACCTCCCTCCCAGTGCCTCCTGCACGCCGTGGAACAGCTGTTCAGTGGAGTTCAGGAGGCGCAGGGAAGGAGGGGGATGGGCGGGGACGGGGTGCGCTCGGGGGACGGGGCAGAAAGAGGCGGGGAAGAGGAGGGGCAAGGGTGGAGCAGGGATGGGGCCTTGGGGAGAAGGGCTGGAGTGGGGAGGAGAGGGAGTAGGACTTGGGGGGAGGGATAGCTCAGTGGTTTGAACATTGGTCTGCTAAATCCAGGATTGTGAGTTCAATCCTTGAGGGGGCCATTTAGGGATTTGGGGATTTAGTTAGGGATTGGTACTGCTTTGAGCAGGGGGTTGGACTAGATGACCTCCTGAGGTCCCTTCCAGCCCTGATATTCTATGACTGAGCAGGGGATTTAGGGGTCTGCAAAAATTTTTAAATCAAAATGGGCGTCATCGGGTTGCTAAAGTTTGAGAACTGCTGCTCTATGCAAAGATTCACAGGTGAAGAATTTTTAGGTTCAAGTTACAAGCACCCAAAATGAGTAGATATTATTCAGGAAACAGTGATGTAAACTTAATGGTAACCCCACTCCAGTGCAATATATTACAGCAAACCTCTGTTCCTACAAGTTTTTTAAAAATAACTCGTCTATAGCTCTGAAAATCATCTTCTGAAATATGGATTATTAGTTCTGTTGAATTTGCTGTTGTCTTTTCAAAATAGGTTCTTTTCCTATTTTAGGATTGCACTGAATAGAACGCACAAAAACAGACCATGACAAAACAACACAAAAATAGATGAGCCTTGGAAACTTACCCCTCCTGACAACTTAATCACCCTCACTTTGGTGCCGACATGGGGCCCATCTCCACTACCACTGTTTGCCCGTTGCATGACAGTCCTTTTCACACCAGGTTTCAGTTCCTGAGGCCTTCCTTGTATCGATGCCACCCTAGCAGTCTGTCCTGGGGTGAACGATGCTGTAGTTGCAGCAGGTTTTGTTTGTAATACTTTTGGCGATGGCTGAAGCTGACTTTGTGGTACTGTTCTAGTCTGTCTCAAAGGCTTCACTGTTTTCACTTGCTGTCCTTGAAAATGCACATTAGCCCCATCTTGCATGAAATCTGTGGGTCTGGGCTGAATATTTGCAACCACCATGTCTTGCTTTTTAACAAGAAGTCTATTTTTCACATTTTGCCTGGCCTGTGCACCAGGATGGACTATAAATGGGTTTCCATTGGTGGGAAACTCTGATGATTCCTCTTCCTGCTGTGTGAAAGATTGTTGAGTAGGAGGCTGTTGCTGCTGTTGTGCAAGTCTTTCAAGTAACTCTCTCTTTCTAGCACCTGCCTGCTGCTGCCGTCTCAGCTCCTTCTGTTTCAGAATTTCTTCTCTTAGGCGTTTCTGTTCTTCTATCTTCAAACGGTATAATCTGGTTTCTTCATCTTCATCGGGAAACTACAAAAAGGAAAGGAAAGGCATTTACTGAAATAGTGAAATATGTCCAGTTTAGTCAAAGCTAACATGAAGTTATTATTTTACAAGTTGTCATAATGGCATAACTCTGAAAAGAGATTTTGAAATTACCCCGACACTGTGCTAAAACTATTAGTGACATATCTTCCAGTAAGATTTGCTATTCATTAGAGACAAGCAGCTTGAATCTGTTTTAGGAATTAAATATACTACATCCTGTGGGGAGCGGGGAGGGGGAGAGAGAGAAGAGGGCCCACTATATTGCTAGTTTGGAAATCTTATCAAAATACTAAAAATGAAGTCTTATAAATCGGAACTCTTGTAGAAGTTTCTGAAACCAATTAAACTATTAATATAATTCAAGATATCAAAATATGTTTCAAATGGAAAGTAACAATACAGAGGCAATCCACTGTCACACAGGTTTTATCTTTCTCTTTTCTGACAAACTAACAAAAGGTAGGGTGGTAAATGACCTGAAAGGCCCTGATTAGAACTATTGATTTTTCTTACAGAATTTTCAGCCTGATCTCAAACTCATTTGTCACACAATAATTGGTTATAATGAACAGCACAAGTCAATCTCTCTGACCTTGAACTCATGCACTCTCCTCAGAATCAAAATGTTGCCACATGCAGTGTTGGAATATTAATGGTATATAGAGAATGCCTTTAATATTCCATCCCTAAGCCTTTCTGAAAGTATTATACTCTGTCAAATAACCTTCTAAAGGTCCTGCAACTTTGGCAGAAAGTGTCCTTATAGGAAGCTATAAGAAACAGAGAACAGTTAAAGAAATCAAGTATCAGAGGGGTAGCCGTGTTAGTCTGAATCTGTAAAAAGCAACAGAGGGTCCTGAGGCACCTTTAAGACTAACAGAAGTATTGGGAGCATAAGCTTTCGTGGGTAAGAACCTCACTTCTTCAGATGCAAGTAATGGAAATTTCCAGAGGCAGGTATAAATCAGTATGGAGATAACGAGGTTAGTTCACCCTCACCCTCCCTGATGGAACTAACCTCGTTATCTCCATACAGATTTATACCTGCCTCTGGAAATTTCCATTACTTGCATCTGAAGAAGTGAGGTTCTTACCCACGAAAGCTTATGCTCCCAATACTTCTGCTAGTCTTAAAGGTGCCACAGGACCCTCTGTTGCTTTTTACAGTTAAAGAAATGTAGATGCCCATCTTCATGAAAAAAAGATCCAGCTTGCTTTTGAGATAGCTGCTTCAACAGGATGTACATATTTTATTACAAAATATACCTGATGAAATTAGATTCCATTTTAAATGGATTTAAGATTGCTTTAAAAACAATCTGCCTATAAAACACGCTATATAATGAATTTACTATTTCAATGAACAGATCATTCTGATTTTAGGCTATACTTACCAGATATATTTGTCAAATAAAATAAGATTAGGCTTTCATCAAATAATAATACATTGCATTTTAGTAAAGTCTTCCATAAAAAGATACTAAAGTATTTCACAAACAATCTGTGTGTCCTGTAAAGAATGGTTACTTACCATACTGGTTCTTTGAGATGTACTGTCCATGCAGATTCAAATATGGGTATGCAAGTGAGATTGAATTATTGTAGCAAGTAGTGTTCATTAGGGCCGTACCTGTGTCCTAGATGTCTTTGAGCCTACACCCCAGTCAAGGGCATAAGAGGCAGAATGGGTGCAAATACCCCACGGTTCCTTCTCCAATTCAGAGAAGTAAGACTCTGGAGCAGTAGGGAATCATGGAATCCATGTGGACAACACATTTTGAAAAAAACACTGTTACCAAAAGATAAGTAACTGTTCTTTATTTCTTTCTTTGAGTGAATATCCACATGGATTCCACTCCTGATGACTAACAAGTAGTTGTCTGTTTGGAGGAGGGTAGTAGGAATTCTGTTTAACCAATGACTGCAGAACAGCCCAACCAAAACTGGGAGATAAATAAATTAGTTTAATGTGGAACTCAAACAACTTTTGGCAGGAACTTGGGATGATACCTAACCCTAAGCCTATCCTTATAAAACTATCAGGGGACATGCATCTCCCCTACCCTTCAAGCTGATGTAATAGCTACTGAAAAGGCAGCCTTCATTGATAATGGGATAGGGAACTGCTTGCTAAAGGCTCAAAAGGGGGAATCTATCAACCTTGCTAATACTATATTGAAGTCTGAAGACTGTGGGGGCTTCCAAACTGGGGTGGGGGTGGGAGGAACTTGAATAAAAACTCTCTCTTCCACTTTGATATATGTCAGTCTAGTTGAGACCTTCTTGCTTTGGAGCAGAATTTTCTGAACTTCAGCTGAACTGCTTCTTTCGGTGGGTCAGCCAGCCAGCATCACAGCTGTCAAACGTAACAATGACAAGTCTGGGCATAGGCGCCAACCATTGTTCTGTGAGACTGTTGGGCAGAGCAGCCAACACAATAGGGAAGTATAACAAAAAATCCACCAGATATGAATATCAGACCTGCCTGGCCCATGTCGGAGCTATCCTGATCTTCAGTCCAGCATCCTGCTTCAGACTACGCTGGACCCTTCGTATCATGGTGACTGATGGGAGGACTTACATCTGTCACAGAGTAACAGGATAAGAAAGGCACTAACAACGTGTTTAGTCTAGAGCACCCTCTGGTGCAGAACACTTGGGATTTCTTGTTCTGGACTGTGGCAAATCGGTACATTAAGGGGTATCCTCACTTGCAAAAGATGCTCTGAGACACTGGGTTCTTGATCATCCTCTCATGGATGTCTGAGAACTGTCTGCTGAAGTGATCTGTTAGTAAGTTTTGAACTCCTGGAAATGCAGGGTCATCAGTGTGATCTGGTGACAAATACAGACTGGAACGGGCTCCTGACAAGAGTGGAGATGACCTGGCTCCTCCTTATTGGCTGACATACTGCGTAGCTGTGGTGTTGTCTCTCAGCACCTGGATTGGGGATTGCTGGAGCAGAGGCAGGAATGTTATTCATTCCAGATGGATGGCTCTGAGTTCCAGGATGCTGAAGTCCAGGTGAGCATCTTGAGAGGATTCATAGGATCAAAGGCTCTGTGTTTGTAGGTGATCTAGACGAGCTCCCCCATCCCTAACAGAAGCATCATTGTAGGCAAAGATACAGAGAAGGGTACTCCATTGCTTAGAGATGTGGGTCTTTCCACCAGTTTTATGAGGAGGGGACTTCTTGTGGGACTGGGACCAACATGTTCATGCAGTGTCTTCCGATTAGATACACTGATTTCAACCACCCTTGCATGGAGCACAGGCAAAGTTTGGTGAACTGCATCACCCAGGTGCATGAAGCCCTGTATCCTAGAAGTTTAAAGCATGCTCACAGTGACATCTTTGGGGTAGCTTGAAGTTGGTTGATGAAGTCTATTCTAATTTGAAATCCTTCTTGTGGGAGACAGGCTTTCAGTGACCTGGAATCTAAGATGGCTTCTATGAACTCTATGCTTTGTGTGAGAGTAAGTGTGGATATTTGTCTATTGACTCAGTCCTACTGCAGCAAAAAGATTTAAGATTACTTGAACTGAGTTGATGACCTGATGTAATGATCTTCCTCGGATCAACACATTAATAGGATATGCATAAACCTGTATCCCTTGCCTCCTTAAGAGAGCTGGTACAACTGTCAAGTATTTGGTGAACACACATGGTACTGTGGAAAGTCCAATGGGCAGGATCCTGTACTGCTAGTGAGATGTTCCAGCTCACAGGAAATGCATCATGTTCTTAGTAGAATGTATGTTCTTGAGATATCGAAGGTTCAGAATAGCCCCTCAAGCCCCCTTCTTTGGAATGAGAAAATAACGGGAACAAAGCCCCCTGCCTCTGAATTCTAAGGGTACCTTTTCTGCTCCTCAAAAATGCAGGACGGGGTCCATCTCTTTCTTCAACAGTATCTCATGAGAGGTGTGGATGGGGAAGATGGGAGAGAAGGTAGGAAGGAACTGGAATTGTATGCAATACCCAATGCTGACAATCTCTCAGCTGTGATGCTCCTAGTCCCAGCTTCTTGAAAAAAAGGTAGTTGCCAGAAGGAGGCTGAGGGCAGAGTTTCTCCAAAGGTTCTGCCAGACTTTCAACTGTGGCATGAAGCCTCCTGCCAAGAGGAAGATGTTAAGTGCACTGTGCTGAAGAGGGGTGGGATGTCTACACTGGGCCTACCTGGGTATTCCTGATGAAAGAAGGCTCTTTGCATCACTGCTGATGTGATCATGCTGTATGTAGATAGATCAGATACATTCAAAAGCAGCCAGCAAGGAAATCCCAGCTATTAGATTTCCCTCTAGCACAATGGACCTTAATTCTTCCATGGTTCTGCATGAGTCTTTCCATAAACTAAGACAATGTGTCCCGGTGTAGATTGCCAATTACTAGATGCTTCCAGAAAAATGACTATGTACATCTGGAGACTGGTAGAGGAGCAGACTTTTCTGCTGAACAGATCAAGTCTCCTAGGTTATGTGTACACTGCAATTAAAAAACAGTGGCTAGTCCATGACAACTGACTTGGGTTCGCGGGGCTCGGGCTGAAGGGCTGTTTAACTGCAGTGTAGAAGTTAGAGCTCAGGCTGGCTCTCAAGCTCTAGGATCCTGTGAGATGGAAGGGTCCCACCCTGAGGGTCCCACACTGAGCAGGAAAAGTAGATGACACCCAATGTCTCAACAGCTCTATGCGGTACCATGATTTCAGTGACTGAAGGCTTAGTTAGCATTTTGAGATCGTATGCTCCAACAGGGAAAACTCTAGTACTGGCTCACAGATATGTCACTTGGTGATGAACAGGCCATAGGCACCAAAAAGGCTAGTAACGTGGGAGCTGCATACCAAGATTACAAGAACTGATGCTGAAGGCAGGGAGCAGATTTAGCTAGTACCACAGGCACTTTTTTCATACCTGGTAATGAGGCTCCAGAGGCACCCATGTTAGGCCATTTGCAGCCCTTTGAATGCAGACCTTGAGAC